GTGCCTTTGTGAGTTCACTGCAGCACCTGGGGCACCTCTACACGCAGTTTGTGAATTCAGGATTACATTGAAACTGGAATGATATTATAGATCTTAGACCCACTGGAGAGTTTTCATTAGGGAAATGCAACAGAAGTAATTATTGATGAAACTTTGCCCAAGAAGAAAACTGAAGTAAGAGGGATTAATTCAGATGCTTGGTGAGAACCTACTAAGTGTGATATAGCAATGGGAAAAGAGAGGCAAGACGCATTTCAAGAGAACAGATCGAGGAACTAATCTGATATAAATAATAAAGTGAACAAAATTATGTTGCACATAAACTTTCGAATTTAAAATAGGGAAGTAAAGCATTTGGCCTGAACCAATTATGGAAGTTGAGAAAATGATCAAGTTTATTTCCTGAAAAGATCTGGATAATGAGATTAACTTGGATATGTTGAGCAAGTTTGAGACATTATTGTAAAATCATTTAGTGTGGGACTGTCATGGGATCCATCATAGCCCCTCCAAAGTCATATGTTGACATCTTAATTTCCAGTACCTTAAAATAAGACCATATTCAAAGATAGTATCTTTAAAGAGATGATTAAGTTAAAATGAGGTCCTTAGCATGGGCCCTGATCCAGTACGTCTGCTGTCCTAATAAGAAGAGGAAATTAGTGCACAGAAACACTCAGAGGGAAGACCATGTGGAGACTTGAAGATGACCATGCATAAGCCAAGGAGAGAGGCCTCAGAAGAAACCAACTCTGACAACACTTTGCTCTCAGACTTCTAGCTGCCAGTGCTATGAGAAAATAAATGTCTGTTGTTTAAGTCACCCAGTCTCTGGTACTTTGCCATGGAGGCACAAGCAACTTAATACAATGTCACAGCACAGATCGGAAGATATAGATTGACCAACCAGGTATAATGTAGTAGTTCAATCCATGACCAGGATTCAAATCCATATGAAATGATAACCAAATGAGTAAGAAAGAGTCTTGGAGACATCCTTCATTGAGTGTAGAATAAGAAAAAAAATGTTTCTATAAATGAAATAAAGGTATACCAAGGCAGGAGGAAAATCAGGAAAGTTCAGTATATTGGAAGACAATCATATGTCACATAAAGATCAAGAATAAATCTCAACAAAAGGGCCATTAGTGGTTGCTATATAGAGTTTATGAAATACTTTTAATGGAGTACCAAGGGTAGGCAATAGGATACAGGAGATACAACAAGATGAGAAAGGGTAGAGGGATAGGAATAAGGAAAATGAGTGTAATACCCCATATCTCAAAGTTGGATAATGAAACTAACCATAGGTAAGAGCTAGCGGAGACATTAAAGTCAATCGATGACTAGTAGCCCTGTGCACACGTTTGATTTGATGAAGAAACTGAAGACTGGGATATTGAAGGAATTATAGAAAAGTACAGAAGCAAGGGCAAGGAGGAGCAAAGCCAAGGTGGCATTTGGAATGTGGAGGAGTAGACAGATGGACAAGAGGCAGAGAATGCTTCATCCGCAGTTATAGAGAAGGACAGTGTATACTCAGAATATTCTCAAAGTTTTTCCCCTAAATAACAATATCCTTCAGAAAAGGTGCTGTCTTATAATTGAGTCATTAAAAAGTATCTCGCACAATGGTGTATATTCTTCTTTGGAGAACACACATTGCTGGAAACAACACCAAGAAAAGCTTGTTTTTATGGCTTTTGAAGAGTTTGCTTTATGGAGTTGAAGGAAAAATAGAAGCAGATGAATTTAACAAAGAAAAAAGTCTTCCTAAGGGTGCAACCTCTAAATTGCAGGATAATATCTTAAGCAATCCTTTAAAAAAATTACTTAAATAAGTATTTAACTAATTACTTATATAGATGTGATCATAAATATACACTTTTAGGGTAAAGGAAAAAGTCACTGATTCTAATATTATGCAAATTGGGTGCTTTATGGCTTAGGAAAGAGCATCTGGTACAGTATTAAACATATTTGATAAAGAGTCTGTTTTCACACAATTTGGATGGGAGTAAAAGATTTGCTGATGAAAATTTGTAGATGATTCAAAATATATAATAATGCAAAAGAATGGATATCAATAACACATGAAAGAATTTGGAGAAATATTTTATGAAATATAGAATTTATTTATCAAAAATTGTGTATTTACCCTAACATGTTGAAACTTTAGTCATCTTCAAAGTACTCTCCGTCTGATGCAATACACCTATCAAGCCCCTTTTCCACCGCTCAAAACAGTTTTTAAACTTGTCCGTTTTGATACCTTTTAGTGCTTCTGCCATCTTTTGTTTTACCTCTTCCACACTGGCAAAACATTTCCCTTTAAGAACTTTTTCCCTTTGAGAAATTTTTCCCAGGAAACAAACAGACAAAAAGTTGCTTGGGGTGAGATTGGGTGAATGGGGAGGGTTGGACATGGGCGTCATGCTATCTTGGTCAAAAACTGCTGAACACTCAGCGCAGTGTGGGCAGCTACATTGTCATGGTGGAAGAACAAGTCACCTGTTTGCTACAACTTGGGATGTTTCTTCCAAAAATTGTGACCCACGACAATTCCAGCTGGGACACTGATGCTGATGAATTCCTAGAGCACATGCCTGGCAGGGGGAGCCTGTACTCCAAGGGAACTATCCTCCAAAAAAGATAATTCCAGTTTTTTAAGGGTCCTCCATTGTATGAGTTAGCATCATTTTAAAATAATTATTACCATTATCACTCACCCTCAGCAGAGTAAGGTCAATTACTTCTATTCCTTAGTTCATGTTTTATATCAACACTGACCTATGTAAGGTCCCTCTCTATTTCTGTATATTTTTTTCTCCTTTTTCCATCTCTAATTTGTCTCTCATATTACCTATGTAATATATGACTTTATAACTATTATAAGTAGTTATAAAAACAGCATTAACAAATCAAATAAGCCGGACTCGGTGGCTCAGCCTGTAATCCCGCGCCTTTGGGAGGCTGAGGTGAGTGGATTGCCTGAGCCCGCGGGTTCGAGACCTGCCTGGGCAACTTGGCGAGACCTCATCTCTACAATAAATCAAAAAATCAGCTGGGCGTGGTAGCGCACGCCTGTAATTCCGGCCACTCGGAAGGCTGAGGCGGAAGGATCGCCGGAGCCCAGCAGGTCGAGGCTGCGGTGGCCGGGAGCGGCCACTGCACTCCAGTCTGGGCAACAGAGTGAGACTCCAACTCAAAAAACAACAACAACAACAAAAAACAAATCAAATATTGTACATGAGACTTTTTCTTCTTCTTCTATATAGTCTTAAAAGCATGGATATCCAAATTGCACACACTTTCACTATTTTTATCAGTAAAATAGGAAATTACTCTTATTTCTGAATTTATTTTTATTTAAGCATTATACAATCATTTTGTAAATCAAGTTGACATTTTTCTTTTCTTTTTAAAGAACATATTTTTAAAACACATGTAATCCAAATTTTAAATAATTGACATATATTTGGAATCCCAAAAGTTTTGGAACGCTACAGACCTATGTTCCAATGTTCTTCTCAAATTGAAATCTCGATCTCTTACTAAATATTTTTATTAATTTAGAAAATTCCAAATAGCTCAGTCCTCCTTGAAATATGTGGAACATTGTTTTTCCTATTGCTTTTCTAAATTCTTCATACTGGGGAGATGTCTCACTGATTTGAACAAGCATTCTGTGTGAGGTTTTGAATGCTTATCTTAATAGAACCCCAAATCTTTTACATAGGTTCACCCTCATTGCTCACAATAATGCCAAGTGCTATATTCCAGGCAGATATTTATTATTTTATATATGAAAAGACATTAGAGTAAGGCCATTTCTCAGTGTATCAGGGGAATAAAAGTTTTCTGAATTTTAGTTCCTTATAGAGCACCACGTAATGAGCTCTTAGAAGGCATTGCAGAGCTGCAATTTAAAATCCTGTTTAATCAGCCTTGGCGGCGAGCTATGTGCCTTTCCCTGTGGAACAACTCTGAGAGGAATCAGGACTCCTCCTCCTCCTCCATCCAGAGCATTGCCAGTCAGGAATTGCTTTCTGGTCAGGGTCTGCCGCGAAACGCCACAGAGAGCCACCCCAGAGAAGCTGGGTCTCTGCATGTCAGCATGGAGCAAACAGCAGAATACAAATCATCAGCTTTGTTTTATGAATATCTTTATTTACAGTGCTGGAGTGGAATTTTTTAAAAAAGGACTACAGCATTTGCATTGAATCTGTCACTCAGCAACTTCAATTTTGATTCCTGTCCTATACATGATTTTGCTTTCCCATTAAAAAAAAATGTCTGCAAGGTGACTGTCAATGTCAGAAAATGTAAACCTCAAGTATACTTTGCGTGGGGCTTGGCATGTGTGTTAAAGGAAATAAGTTTGCTTAATGAAAAGAGGATAATATTTATTCGAACTAAGCTCATTTGATGGCTCAGGGGAAAGTATACTTTCTTTGGCAGTTTTGATTGAATTTTAATATAACAAAATCCACTGCTAACCTTTTATTTTTCTTTGACCAACAACATTTCTCAGCTCAGCTTATGGGTTCTATAAAGTGCCTGTCAGATGAAGGAATGTCTTTGTTGAAAGCCTTCAGACTCCTAGAAAGTGAGTGACCCTCAGGGATGGGTAGAAATCTCCCAATTTTGACAAAGATCCTTCTCTGTTTGGGATTTGTAAAGCTCAAACTGTAGACTAAGAAGATGACAGGAGGGTCTGTGTTCGGTTTCATGGAACTTAACCTATTGCAGGAAGCCTGCAATACTGGGGAAAATGATACATGAATTTATATTTATGTCAGGCTTGCAGTTGATGGGTAAGGTTCAGAGAAAGGTTACTCTTAAGAAATGTCTATCATTCCCATTCTGCGTTCCAGCGATTTCTGCTTCTTCCAAATACTGCCCTCTAAGACAATACAATTATTTAAAAATAATAAGCAAAGCATGATTTATTAGTATGTCTCCTGTCCTGTAATGATTATACATCTTCTGTCTTGTAGCTCCCAGCAATAGGAGGACAACTGACCTTTACCATATCATATGACCTTGAAGAAGAGGAAGAAGATACAGAACGTGCTCTCCAGTTTATTATTATCTTGGAGGTAGAGTACTGAGTGCATCATTTATGTTCAACTGTATTACACCCTTATGTTACCTGGGGTTACCAGGGCTGTTTTTTACCTGCCTGGTTTGACATTCACTTATGTTACTTACTACTAAAGAAAAATATACCTTAGGAATTTTTTGATGCCACTCTTTTGTTTAACTCCTAGACATACCTACAAGATTAAGTGTATCCATTGTGTTCCCAAGTACATCATTGTGAATGATAAAGGAGACCTTTAGATCAGACTTGAAATTTAAATTTAGCACATAATAACCATGTTTCCAAGATTATAAATATGATGAAAATGTTTAGGTAAATACTAATTTACATAGTTGTATTTTTTCTCCATCTCCCCTTGCTTCCCAAGTAGATTTTATTGTCTAATTCCTTGTTTCTATTAGTCAAAAGTAAATGAAAAAGGAAACTTGTTTATTTAGCTGTAATTAAATCTTGCCTTCAAAATCCTATTTTAGGTAAGAAAGATACAGGAGAAACTGCTTTCCGGAGTTGGAGCTCCGTAGGCCATTCCAGAATGCCTGGAGCCTGAAGTTATGTTAGAAGCTCTCTCCTACCTTTTTCATCTCCTTTCTTTCCAACAATATATACCCTTCCCCTGACACTCATACATATTTAGAGGCATACACATGCAGGCATGTTCATGATTCCAAATGGGTAGATGTTAATTTAGCACCAGGCTCTGTTTTTTTCTTGAAACTTTCATGTATGTAAATCAATGACAAAATGACAATGACAAGTTATTTTTTCAAATGAAATTCTTCTCTCAAACATGATGATTTTTCTGGTATTGGATGAAGTAATCTGAAATGTATATATACACATATATGTGTCCATATATACATTATATGTGTATATATATACATATAAAACAACTAGATGTGCACTTTAGAATTCCTTGAAGATAAAAGGGGTTCGCTAAATGTGAAATAGTTATATGGTTAGTTCATATGAATGAACTAGATAAGTAGAATTATCTAAATGTCATACACAGTTCAGTCAATATACTCCTTATTATGAAGCCATTATCCTACTGTGATCACTAGGCTGAATTTGTTTTATTGTCTGTTTTTTCCCATATAGAAAAGTCTTTAAAATAATAGCTTAATCCATTGTTTTAAGCTTCTTTTCCTACTGTTCTACACAACCCACATCCATCATAAAATATGATATTTGAAATATGTAATTGTTGTGCACTTGTGTAAAATCAAGGTGTTTATAGTCACATACATGTTTTTGAGCTGTCAGGTATCTATTATATTAGTTAATGAGGAAGTGATGTCATGCAAAGCCAAGAAGCTTGTACTTAGTGATGCCACTGGCTAAGGCTAATATTGAAATTGCAATTGCCTTCCCTTCAAATATGCCAGAAATTTTCTGAGTGATAGGAAAAGCCAACCCGAAATTAAAAGCCTGCTGAGGATAATCCAATGGGTGGAGAATCCAAATACAGATACATTTTACTTCTTTTCAGTTTTACCCTTTGATACTTTTTTCCCCCTCCCCTTTAGGGAAATGACTTGAGAATCAGCACAGCTCAAGATGAGGTGTATCTGCAACCGTCCGAAGAGCATGTTAATGTATTGTTACTTAAAGAAGAATCGTTCACCATACATGGCTCCAACTTTCCAGTCAGTAGAAAAGAATTTATGACAGTGCTTGCGAATTTGAAGAGAGTCCTCCTACAAATCACATACAGCTTTGGGATGGATGCCATCTTCAGGTAGAAGCAAGAACTGCATCTCCAGTGTTCACAGGTGTACCTTGGGGGCAAACATGCAGGAACCTGAAGAGTGAATTTTAAGGTCCCTGGGGTTTGTTGTCTTCCCATAGCAGATAACAGTGGAGCCCTGATTTTCTGAAAGGCGTTGCTACTAAGACTTTAAAGTTTTAAATATCCAGAATAAATGTGTCTCCTTTAAGTGTTCAGAATAAATTATTATTGATGATTTACTCCGCAATTCTGTCAGAACATGTGGATAAATGGGGATTTCTATATTGAGAAATCCTATACTGGTGAATAAAGTCTCCTTTATGGCAGACACAACGGCTCACACCTGTAATCCCAGCGCTTTGAGAAGCTGAGGAAGGAAGATGGCTTGAGTCCAGGAATTAAAGGCTGCAGTGAGCCGTGATCATACCACTGTACTCCAGCCAGGGCAACAGAGTGAGATCCTATCTCAAAAAAATTATTTTTAAAGTCTCTTTTATGATGGCTCAGATAGTGAAAAATGAAAAAGATGTAATTCTAGGGTACCTATGTTTGGAAAGTCGTTTGGAAAGTATTTTCTTCTATTATTTAATTTACTAGTTTCTCACTTAATAGTCTATATAGTAAGAAATGTAAAGTTCCATTTAAATAACCACACAAGTCAATATAAAATACTCTTAACACTACGCATGATATAAAGAAAAGAGCGTGAGCTTTGGTGCCAAACTGAATAGGAATTCAATAAGCTCTATCGATTATTATAGGCGTGACCTTTGGCAAGTGATTGGGCCTTGTGGTATCTTGGTTTCAGGTGTAAAGTAGTGATACCAATGCCTATTTTTCAGAATTATTATGAAAATGATACATGATCATTAGAAAAGTACACATTACCTGGAACACTTTGAGTTCCTTGTTCTCTCTCTCTCTCTCTCTCTCTTTTATTTTAAGAAAAAACTCCTTGACTTGAACCAAACATGCCTACAGCTGACTGACTGTAGGTGGCTGTAGCTTCCATTTTAAAAACTAACATCTTAACATTTCTGTCTGACAAAATTTTAACGTCAACTGTGTCTGAATGAGCTCTTTACCTGTCTCTTTTTCTACTATAAAGAGGAACACAAGATGTCATGGGAACTTCATTCGAAATCAGATCAAGTTAGATGATCAAAGGCAATCCCAAACTGACAACTTGGCCTACTCTTAATCAAAGCAGTGTGTTCAATATTGGATTTTTTTGCTGAACCACCCTGCACCGCCCCCCCATCATTTGCCTGCATTGCCTAGTTTATCTTTTCAGTGGTATCGTTTCAACTAAGTATAATCATCATTACCATTTCCCCAAAGGAGAGAACTGCAGATTCATAAACAGAACATTTGCCGAACAATGTACCCCTTCTGCATAGGCAATTCCGCGAGAAGCTGGGTTAAAATGCCATGAAGAGGAGAAGCCGCACTTAGGAATTAATTACGTTTTTTTCTCATTTACTAGGTAGAGATTGTCACGATGTTTAAACAGTGTAGAGAGATGAGTCCTCTAGCTTTCAAAATGAATGACAACCAAACTGACAAAGAAAGTGACTAGGGGGCTTATTTATTTTCATCAGCATTGTTTCCCAGGCTGGTAAATACAAAGACATTTCCCCCTGATTTATGTCAGACAATTTCGGTGTCTATGCATCTTAAAATCACTAGTTTCGTTTGCAGTCTTCTGAGACATCCCCATCCACGAGCCATGTGTTCACAGGCCGTGGCTATGTGAACTGTGAACTAATCCAAGTAGGTGGCCGCTTTCTGAAAAAGCCAGGGTTAGATTTGCAGCTCCTATCCACTTCAGGTGAGCCGAAAGTCGGCATGAATCCCGAGTCAGTACGCTTGTTACATTTTATTTAGCTCTGAGCCGCTAGTAGATTGAGTCATATTTGTAAAACATCACTTGAATTGATTTCAACTTGTCTTGCACAGTAGGCTCCTGACTTGGTGTGCTGTTTGTGTGCAAGCACAAGTAAATTGAAGCTCAGCAAAAACTCATGTTTGGACTTATTTGCAGAGGATTTGTTTCCACAGTACTTTCAGCAATGGGATTAGGTTCCTTCTGTTGTGTAGTTAGAGGGAAACTTATAGTGAAAGAACTGGGCTGGGGTCAAAGATTTTGACTTTTGTTTTCCACTCAGCTACTTAGTAGCTGCAAACATAAGTACGGCTTTGACCTCTTTGGGCTTCAATCACTTCATCTGGAAAATAAGAAGGACTATTGCCCTGCCAACTTCAAAAGGTCGCTGGGCGAATTGAATTAGAGGCTGCGAAAGCACTTTGCGAACGGCAAATCAGCACACAAATATGAAGTATTTCTATCTTACCTGCTTCATCCCGCAGCATCATGTTTTCTCCAAGTACCATCAAGATTTGGAGACCTCTAGAGTAAGACCCATGCTGCTATTTCTGCAACTGTAACAATTCTTACTGTCATTCTTTTCTAGAATGCTGAGAGCTATTCAATAAAATTAATTAGTTTCTTTCTCACTGTCCTCACCAGGAAGATGAAGACAAAAATAGAAAAGTTTTTACTCTCCTTTTTAAAATGTAAGAGAAATCAACCTAACCTCACTGCACATCTTTCTCCTTTAAATGCTCAAAATATTGGATTTAGTGGCATCTTCGGTCTTTTAACTCAAGCAACGCTTTTTTAAAGCACCTGTAATATTAGACAGAGAACTCTGCACAGAATATATTTTCCTTTCACCCTTTGGTAGATATTAGTACAGTTCAACAAATTTCCTGTCTCGCCTGGTGGATATCACATTTCTCTAACCCTTGAGGGTAGATGTGGTCACAAGACTTGGTATAGCCAATGAAACATGGCAGAAATAATGCATGTGTTTTCCTGAGGAAAACATTGAATTGACAATGTGAGAGTCTCTGGAGCTTATTCAGCAACCAGAAGATCAAAGCCAGGAATCCTGACAGCACGTAGGGGTCAACTGCCCTGAATGGTCACCCAGGCCCGGAGAGGATTTTACATGAGGGAACCGTTGTTTTCTGTTACTGTTGAGAATTTGGAGTTGTTACCACAACATAGACAATCCCATCATAATGTTGTCATGTTATCCCTCAAGTGTCTTCATTGCTTAAAAATAAATACAGACTCTGTTCAAGGCAAGATATATTTACATGACTTTAAGGGGAAGGTTGTGTCAAAACTGAGGGGAAGGTTGTGTCAAAAAAAAATCTCTACAGAATTTATGTAATGAATAATCTAGAAAAAATGTTTGTGACCAAAGCATCTTTGATGATGATGGAATAGTTTTGATAGATGCATAGTATAATTCTACCTTTTGAAGTTAATAATTCAGGGAACCATGTTTTAAAGAGATTATACTGATAAGGACACTGGGATTTTTGCAACTAGCTTGGCATCAGGCTGTTGGTAAGAGATACAGCCAGGACCTCAACCCACATGTGTTTCCTCCCCATTATCCTTGACCACCTTCCAACGCTACTCTGTAAATATTGGATTATTTCAGTCTGCAAACATTTACTGAGCACTTTCCATGTGTGTATCTCTAATTCTCAGTTCCTTTTCTGTAAAATGGCACAAACAATATTTGACTTTCAAGACTGATGATTAAGTGAGAAAACAGTGTATAGAAAGCACTTGCCATAGTATCTAGCATATGTTGGGAGGTAATGTAGGGTAACAAGGAGACTCCTGGTTTTGAAATCACACATGGACGTGAATCTGTGCTGCACTGTTTGCTAACTGTTTTGTGGAAGACAGGGGATTCCACTGAGCCTTGGGTTCTTCATTTGCAGTTGCAGATAAAGATGTGATTATTATACCTGGTTCATTGATACTTAAGTGAAATGTCTTTCAAGCCCCCATTACAGTGCACAGAGGACAGCAGACATTCAGTGAGTAGTAATTATTAAGATGCAGTAGTTCTAAGCTAAGCAACAAGAATACAAAGATGGATAAATGATCAGTGAACTCATGCAAGACATAGTAGAGGAGGGAAGGAAGGTAGACATACCGTCCATTTATGATAATATAGTAAGTAACACAATAGAAGTGTCTACCATGTATGCTGGTAGGGCTAACCAGGAAGAGATGAATTATTGTGTTAGCATTTTATGTATTATTTAATAAATGGCTACAGCAGTATTCGATTCTGTTGCTTCTCTTACTTGATGTGGGATTGAAAATAACTGAAGAAAGTGTCTTGCTTTTTTCTCAGATTGCCCACTCAGAAACTGGCAGGCCACTGAATGATTCAGTTGCTTATTTAGGAATGAAGCAAAGGTATCTGGCTCTTCTAATTGTGCGGTATTTTGTGGAATTTTCACAAGATAGAGGCTACAGGAAGTTTTGAGTAATAATCTTATGTTTGCACTAAGGTAAAATAATATAACACTTTAACAGTAATAAAAATCTTTATCTATCATGGTTCACCCAAAGTAACATGTGTTTAAGTGGGATAAAATCGAAAAGAATTATTTTAAAATGTTTTAAGAGCAAGGGATTTTTTGTTTTATTTTATTTTTAAGTATTGTGTTTTGTGGTGGTTGTCTTAGTGCAGTGTAGTGAATCTCACTCTGGTGGGAAATGTAGCAAAACAAGAGCATTAAGCACAACCTTTAAGGTAGTACCAGGACAATGTTTTTGATGTGATTCCAATATTTTCCATAGTAGCTTATATAATTTTCTCTTCTAATCATCCATCATCATATCTGTGTTTTCAAGACATAATAATGAAGAACAGTCAGCCAAAACATTTGACTACTTGACAATTCTTGGTAGTTCATGCATCTCCAAAATATAGTAGTTTATTACTGCCAACATTATATATTTAAATGAATGCAGCCCCATATCAAAAAAAAAGGAGGAAAGAAAGAAAAAGAAAATGACCATACTGAGGGGGAAAAAATACACTGCAGACTTCTTCATGAACAACACTTAAAACTGTTAAACACATTAAAATCCCATTTAACAAATAGCAGAACCTAATGAACATTGGGATTGCTCAGTGAATGCTAATGTGGACTATTTCTGGGAAAGAAGATTGAGCAGTGAAGTTTCTCATAGCTCAAAATGGTTATACAGATTCAGGAGAGAAACATCTGTTGTTCAAAAGACAAATGAAATTTGGCAGTTCACTGAAAATATTTTTGTTTTCGTGTCTTTATTTTTTAAACTGTTCCTTAAGATAGTCAGCTACTTACTCTCCTATTTTGAAACTTCCAAAACTCGTGCTTTAAGTTTTGCATATCTATTTTATATTGGAAATCCTGGGACTGTATCTATATGCAGCTGCCCAATTTGCTGTTTAATAAAGTGTGATATCAGAATACATTCAGGTGAATTCTGGTCTCTGGCCTCAGGTCCTAATGCTAACATTTTTCCACTTATTTCTTGTGTCAGATCAAGCAAGTAATTTGTCTTTTTTACTTATCTGATTTTATTCATTTGAAATGTGAACAGTAGGCTTTATCATATCATTTGTCATGGGGTTTGTTAGTCATTGTTTCTAATATAACTACATTCAATTAATCTATTCATTCATTTATGTGTGTATTTAGTTAGTTACTCTTGTTTATATCTATCCATCTGTCTACTCATCCATCTACATCTGCCCATCCTTCCATCCATCCATCCAACAAAAGTGTATTGAGATGGTCATGCTGCATATATAAATGACGTGAGAGGGTTTCTGTTCTCAAGGGGTATTTCATAAGCTTATACCAACCTAAGAAGGTACTATCTTTAGTAACTCTTCCGAACCCTGTTGTGTTAAGAAGACTCGCCGGACCCAGGAATTCTATTCCTAGATATACACCCAAAAGAATTGAGAATAGGTGCTCAAAAAGCATGCATATTCACAGCAGTACCAGTTTTGACAGTCAAAAGGTGCAAACAAAACACATTTTTGTCAAGAGACGAACGGATAAACAAAATATGGTATATACATGCCATGGAATATTACTCGGTCATATAAAGGAATGAAATACGGATACATGCTGCAATGAGGGTGAACCTGAAAAACAGTATGCTAAGTGAGAGTGACTGGATCCCAAGGTTACATACTACATGGTTCCATTCATGAGGTATATCTAGGATGGGTAAATCCATAGTGATTGTCAGTTGACAGGAGCTGGAGAAAAAGGGGATTCGAGAGTGACTGCTTAATGGTTTCAGGATTTTCTTTTGGACTGATGAAAACGTCTTGAAACTAGATAGAGGTGGAAGTTGCACAGCATTTCGAATATACTAAATGGCACAGACTTATACAATTTAATATGGTGATTTTATGTGATGTGAATTTCATCTCAAATAATAGAAAGAAAACAAACGCCTGTGACGCTACATCTTTTCGTGTGCAATGTTTCTTAGTGAAGGGGGAAAAGAAGACCATTTAGTGATGTTCAAATGACACATTTAACCTCGACACTGTAAAACAGTGATTTTTAATGCCTACAGGTCTAGGACCCTCGACTAGGTTTTCCAGTCTGTGACCTTAGAGAAGACAACATTCAAGAAATAGTGTTAGATGAGTTTATCTTCAATTAAAGGCAATTTGTATGCCACCTAGCATCCTCCGGGATGATTTCATCCAACTGCGTATTTTTGGTGATTTCAAGGTTACTTTCCTTCTCTGCTTCTTAATCATATATATACTCATACATATTCCAAAGTACTGCCAAGTGTCTGGGATTAGTAAAGTGGGGGGTAAAAACAATACAATTTAGAAGCTTGTTTCTGATAAGGCTACAACTTGGTTAAAGGTTGTCACTTTTGAAGATACATTTAAATCTTATAATGAGCCCTTTACCTTTGTTCTCTGGTTTGATTACAAAACAGAGTCCCTAATCTGGCAAGCTCTTTGATAAGTGTGAATCACTGATCAATAAAAATCTACCATCACTCCTGAGAAAATAAATTAAAATGCAGGCCCTAGTAAGAGTCAGTTGAAACTTTCTTATAGTTAAAAGATTCATATTATAGGTTATCAAGGTCTATCAATTTTTTAAAGCTATAATTGTTACCGGGAGGCAATAGCAGTCATTTAATATTGTGCTTTTAGAGTTTACCTACAATTTATTTTCACACCTTAAAATCACTTAGGGAGCCAACCACAGTGACTCATGCCTGTAATCCCAGTGACTGAGGTGGGAGGATTACATAAGGCCAGGAGTTCAAGACCAGAGCAACATAGTAAGACCCCATGCTTCCAAAAAATACATGAAAAATTAGCTGGGGATTGTGACATGCACCTGTAGTTCTAGCTATTTGGAAGACTGAGGCAGGAGGATCACTTGAGCCCAGGAGTTTGAGGTTATGGTGAACTATGATCATTACCATTGCACTTCAGCCTGGGTGACAGAGTGAGATCCTGTCTCTAAGAAAAAAAAAATGGAGAATAGGAACAGCACAAATGCTATTTCTTATACTACTCATGAAGTCATTTTTATTTGATTTCAACAGTCAGTGAAAATATGTTAATAAAATATCTAGTATTTAATGATCACCTACTATGTGTGCCTATTGTATCAATAACTTTATACTATTTTTATTTAATCATTTAATCAAGCTTATGACTTATGTACTATTATGTTATCTCCATTGTATAGACTAAAACATTTAGGCCTATAAAGAATCAGTAATTTTTACCTAGGCCACAAGCTTAGCACATACCAGAGGTAGAATATGAATTCTGATCTATTTGACTCCTGAAACTGTGACAATTAAGCTTTGTAAAATTTTCTTTTACTAAACAATAAGAAAAGCCAATAAGACAATAATAACATTTATTTAAATGTTAAATGTATATATTAAAAGGATATATATATAAAGGATATATATATATATATCCTTTTTAAATATGCATTTAACATTTAAATATATATATATATCAGCTTCTTTTTCCATTTTCAATTTGGCCAAGGCAGCTTTTCTCTGAAATAATAGGTTATGCCAAATGACTCTGATAAAGTTACCAGATTGTACAGAAGTACCAGTGAAATGAAGCCCACAGAAACAGAGAACAATGAATTTAACTCAGGTCAAAAACAAACCACAGAGACAGTCCTAATTCAACGGAGCATTTGAGAAAGTTACACTTATACCTACTACCAACATGCAGGGTTAGCTCTGAAGAAAAAAAAAGATTGCTTTCATTTCTTCTTCTTTCTTCAGTTTAAATGCTAAGGTGGATTATTAATATTATCTCCCGCGTTTCTAGTTTAAATGCAAAAATAAATCAAACTGTCATGGGAAATGTTTTCTGTTTTAAAAATTTCCGTAACCATATGATTTTAAACTCTCTCCAAAAAAATGAAAATCAAAACACAGCCGAGACATGAAGAGCATTCTCCTGTCATTTCAGCACTGCACTTGTGGATGTTGGAAATTGTCATGCTTTTAACTGAGCATACTCAGTTTAGTATCACAAATGTCCAGAACTTCAAGTTGTGTCTTCTTCCTCAGCATAGATAAACAATGAATGGGTATACCATTGTTGCTATGCTATTTCTCCAGCTATGTAATACCTAAGAACTCATTTATGTACTTACCGTCTTTTTTCCCCCTCTGCCCCAGGTTGAGCGCTGTTGACCTTGAGTCTGCTGTCTCCTACCCTACTGGTGGAAGCACTGCAGCAGCTGTGGAAGTTTGTCAGTGTCCACCAGGATACACTGGCTCATCTTGTGAGGTAAGGTTGCAAGAATGTATCCTCAGCACACTCTAAGTTCCCTCAGCATTGCTTGCTTTTTTTTTTTTTTTTTGAATATGCATAGCCGCTTTATTCATAAATAGCCCAAAATAGAAAACAACCCAAATGCTCATCAACAGGAGAATGGAAAAAGTAAATTTAGCATGTAACTCTACAAAGGAATATGGCATAGCAATGAAAAAGAACAAACAATGAAACATGCCGAAACAATCATACACTATTAATGTATAATCACGTTAATATATTATACATTCTAAGTTTTAATGAAACTTTCAATAAGCTGTTCTAATAAGAGTTTTTCTATCAGTAATTGCACAAAGTGTATTACTCGAAGAAGAAACATGAATGTCTACCAAAAGCCATGGCTTTCAAACAGAATATTAGCTGCTTAATGTCATCTTGAAATTGTGTTTCTTTTTGAGATATTTTGCCTCACTTTTTCATAAGTGTTTTTCCCCTGTTGAATCAATGCATGTTGAATAACAGCAGAGTAATATTTTAAATTATTTTTCTTATTTTCGTTTTAGTAATTATCTAGAACTCAGCACTATATTTTTACTTTTCTCCCATTTTTGAATCCTGAATATCACACTTTTCCCCTACTTCATTTCCAAGAATACAAGCAAATTACAATCATCTGAAGCATGCCATCTTTAGAATGTCAAGAACGTAATATGTGGGGGGAAAATACCTTGATACAGAAAATTTTCCACAGGTTTTTTAATTTGTTCAGCACCTAATGTTTGAGATATCTATTGTTGTTTCAGTATCTTAGATATATAATAAGATTAATGCTTCTTACTCAATTCCAGTGTGTCATCTTAAAGAAACAATTATTTGCTTCTATATATTTTCTTTTAGGCCATGTGAAAATTGATTTTACTGGAAACCTGGTCAAAAAAGTGTAAACACCATTTCCCTGATAGAGGGCATGGTTTGCAGATAAATAGGAGCTTAATTTTTTGAAATGGTGCCTTTAAGGAACCATTTGAGTGTACCAAGATGTTCCACTTCAAAACACTACCCCATTAAACCATTTATAGAAATACTCTAGGCATTGCTTTGTCAGTTCCTTTGTACTTTAATATAAAGCATGCGTCCAGAGATACACAGGGAAAAGAGTCATATTTGTAAAAGATGTGTTTTCTTTAATGGGCTTAGATTCACCTTTCTAGAAATAGATCTAAATGTAATTTATTGAAGCATTTGCTTTTCCAAAATTCATGCAGAGAAGAGAAAAATAATCATGGCTATAAATTAGCTATGCCAACCCAAATTTGATTTTACATATAAAACACATGCTGTATTTGATGAACCATATTCTTATATTAAAAACCTCCGAGTTTTGATTCCAACCAGATAACTCTCTTTGAACCTTTAAGTTCCTCTTTCAATTGGAATAATAAATACCTTGATTCTATTCTAGCTTTGATGCTTGTTTCCACATTAGTTATTTTCAGTCTCTTGCATTACCATTTATCCAAGTTCTAAATACTCATTGAATATACAATTATCTGAATTGTAGAATTGTTTAATTATCTGTGCCTTTTGTCTCTTTCTTCTCTTCTTCAAATTTTTAAAATAAATTCTGTATATATTTGATAAATTCTATAAATTTATCTATATAAATTATCAATAAGTATATACAGCATAGTCCCTGTCATTAAGGACTAACTATCTATTTAGGGTGAAAGAACAAATACTAAAGAAAAATTGGATCCCAGTACTATGTAATTAAGGGACTAGTGCAGGTTGCAAAACATACGTGCGATAATCACGCAAAGGAATGAACCATTCCGGTGGAAGAGGGTGTCTTGTAAAGTATCCTGGAATGGAGACATCTGAAATTGGATACTAAACGATGGTGGCATGTTAGGAAGAGAGAAGCATGCGAGTGTGAAAAAGAGAACAAAGAAACAGAGAAAGGTTAATAAAAGCTTCCTCTATATCTCACACAATAGTTGTTTGAAAAATAAAGTTATTTGAAATCCATAAAAGTATTTAATGAAATTAGAAGACAATAAACTCTGGAACTTTGAAGTTTCTGACTTCATTTCTTCTAGTCTGTAACATGTCCTTCTTTTCTTTGTCAAAATTCTGTATCCCTCCCTAGACACACTATTTTCCAGTCCTGTACTTTTCCGATTTCATTTGCTGTTTTATTGAGCTTAGTTCATATGGACAGTCATTCTAGCCTTGTTGTCAGCAATATCCTGAGATCCCTTAAAAGCTGGGTAAGCTCCAAAGACCATTAGTGTCTTAATTCTAGCTCACTGAGAACCTCTAGCCAAAAACAGACCAAATGATTTCATTATAGACATTCTCTTTTACTTCATGTGAGTCCACAGTGTTGATTCAGAATCTTTTTTCTGCTAGATTTCTTATAAAGTGCTCCACGGTTAATCTTTCAAATATATTTTTTACTTTCATAGTGCGATCATCTTTCATGTCACTTGATAGGAGAGACGGGATTACTATAGATTGTTAGATAGATAGATAGATAGATAGATAGATAGATAGATAGATAGATAGATAGATAATAAAGAAATTTTAAAAAGAGTTTTAGAACAAATCTCAATTTCTTCTTCTAAGTGATGGAGATAATACTAACCTTCTCACTTGGACTTTCATTTAGCTAAAAAGTATCTGGGGAGTCACATTTTGAGGTAAACAAGACTCTAGACCTGGAGGATAATGTAAGGAACACCCAGATACGGTCCCTGTCCTGAAGGACGTTGCACTTAGAGGTAGGATAGATAATATGCCAGAAAGAAAATTTAAATAAATGTGACAAATGGCATGAAGAAAATAAACAGGGTGAAAGAAACAAAGTACTTTGGCAGAGGTGCTGCGGGTGGTGTCCAAAGACCAGAGAGCTTGCTTTGTAATTGTTCGTCAGGGAAAGCTTCCTGAGGTGTGACATCTACACTGCAGGCGGAAGAACGGGAAGGTCAGCAACGTAAAAATAGCTGATAAGAAGGCAGCACAGAGCTTGGAGCCAGCGAGGGCCTGAAGGCAGGTATGCCGGGAGCTTTGGACACAAGAGGAACAGTGGTACAGGATGTGATTGCAGGAGCCAGGTCATTCAGAGCTTTGCATGCATGATAAGAGCTGAGGATTTTATTCTAAGTGTCATGAAACATCATCAGGAGACTTTGAGCAGGGTAGTGCTATGATCTGAGTTATAATTTTTTAAAAATTCATTATGACTACAGTAGGAAGAACATGTCCTAGGAGGGCACACATGGCAGAAAGAAGGGTTAATGCATGATTGTAGTAGAACATAGCAGTGATCATGGTTTGTTTTAGGACAATGACAAGGGATATATATAAAGACATGAGCATATTCTACATATATATTGGTAGTAGAATCAGTAGGACTTACCGATTCAAGACTGCATACCAGGAGAGAGATGAAGGGAATAAAAGACTTTAAGAATGAGTCATAGATCATCAGCTTGAACAATTGTGGTGTCGTTTACTGAGCCAGGGAAGACAGGAGGAGGAAGAGCTGGGGGAAGTGGGGATGGGATCAACAGTACAGTTTAGAAATTTCAAGTTTAAAAAACCTGTGAAGTGTAGATGCCAAGGTAGTTAGAATATGCAAGTCTTCGACCCAGCATCTCCGTCTAGTCTAGAGATGCAATTTTAGAAGGCATCCTAAAATATGAGACTAAGTTACCCAGAACAGAGGGTAATACAAAAGGAAAAAATATCCCACCAAGTGCAACCCCTGAGGAGATCCTGAGAATGAGAAGCAAGGTCGAAGCAGATGAAACAGCAAAAAGATAGGGTGAGCCGGGCTCGGTGGCTCAGCCTGTAATCCCACGCTTTGGGAGGCTGAGGTGAGTGGATTGCCTGAGCCCGCGGGTTCGAGACCCACCTGGGCAACTGGCAAGACCTCATCTCTACAATAAATCAAAAATCAACCGGGCGTGGTAGCGCATGCCTGTAGTTCCAGCTACTTGGAAGGCTGAGGTGGAAGGATCGCCAGAGCCCAGCAGGTCGAGGCTGCAGTAGCTGGGAGCGGCCACTGCACTCCAGTCTGGGCGACAGAGTGAGACTCCGACTCAAAAAAAATGATAGGGTGGATGTTTGGGAGTGTGATGTTATGAAAGTCTAGAGAAGAAGACATTGGAGGGGGGAAGGAGTCAACTGGGCCAAAGACTGATGAAAGGTCAGATAAAACGCAATTGTAGAACTCATCACTGGGTTCAGCTACCTTTAATTAGTGACAAGCACAAGAGCAGTTTTCATTGAGGGGTGGTGGCTCGAAAGGGATTCGGATGAGAAGAGAATGAAGTGTGGAAGGGAGAAGAGGAAGAGAAGACTTTTTACAGTTGTTTTACTGAAAAGAAAAACAGTCAGGTGGCCGGAAAAGTTTGATGGTAAAAGAGTAATGTTTTCACTTGTGTTATTTCTGCTGGTTAATTTTTGATAGAGAGACTAGTTTGTGTTTTTGAGCTGATGGTAAAGGATCCAACTGAAAAAGGTAGTTACACTGATGCAGCAGAGAGCTGGAATATGGAGAAGACAAGAGATGCTGGAATCCAGATTATAAGTGGAATGATATTCTCTCAAGGAAGGAAGGAACCTGCATGCCCCACTTCTATTGTTCTGGAAGGGGTTATGGCAACAATGTGTGGAGATACATGCTTATTCCTATGGACTTGGTAATAAGAAAAATATCATTGGCTAAGAGAGAGATGGAAGGAGTTGAGAAGTTTGAAGTAAGAAGATGTGGTATGAGCATTACATTTGCAGAGTATTAAAGCAAAAAAGTTTACTAAGGACAATTCCATGAATATCTATTCTGAAAACTGTAAATTAATTCTCTCTCTATTCTCACCATCCTTAATTTTTACACCTTTCTGGATATATAGCCTTGACAATTTTAAAAAATATATATATTACACAAGGAAATCACTTCTATAGTGAATCTAGAAAAGCAAAAATGTTAGAGGGGAGAAATTACTGGAAAGATAAAAATGGACACCTTCTTCTTTGTACTGTTCAAATTAAAGAGAAAGTTGATTCTATTTTCTTTTTTAGACATGAAGTATCAACGCATCACTTTTCTACGTGTTTGTTATTGATGTTCAAATTTAAGAGTCTTCATATCCTGAGGCAGAAGGAACATTTCAAACAATATACAACACAATTCTCTATACTTTATTACTTCAGTGGTTTCTTTTTTGTTTCAATTTTCAACTGGAAAAAAAAGACCATTTCATGATACATGGTGTTGCATTTAACCATCCAGAAATATAGTAAATAATCCACAAAATGCAGTTATATTTGAGGGGGAATCATGAGCTCTGGGAGGGCAGAAATCTTTGTTTTGCACTTGTTTTGCATCTCATCCACTTTGGAGGAATCCCCACAGAAGAAAAACTTAATTAAGGTTGACAGGAAATTTAGAGCAGGTGCTGACACACAGGTAATCTGAGACCCAAATATCCTGTTTTAGTCAGAATTCTGTTTTTATATAATAGCGTATCACATTTTTTAAAAAGGAGTGATGAATATACGCAAAGTTATAATAATGCCATAAAACAAACTATCAGGAAAATATATGGTGAATAAATCAAAAACTATTTTGTATAAATTTGAGAAAGCATAATAGGATGGCGGAAATTGAGAATGAAATACATGAATCATGTGTGTGGAAGTCAGCTGTGTGTGTGATCAAATATAAGAGTGGAGTGCCACGTGTCTTTCAAATGATATCAAAGATTTTCTGAAGGTGAAGGTGTTCAGAGCTATTAGTAGGTGTAAAAGGGAACACATTTCAGAGAATCAAACTTGCTTGGGTTAACATTGGGTACTCTCTTAGGCTAAGATGCTCTCAAGAGTTCTGTTACACCAGTTACTTTTTTTTCCAGTACTTTTTCTTCTATTTTCCTGTCTGTGCTTTTCACTTTGATACTGTCACATTTCTGTTCTTTATATCTCTGCTTTATTTTACCATTTCAGAAGAGACACCAAGCTAATGCTCCTTCTAATCCCATACCTGCCAATAACACTAAGGTCAGTACGAAGCTCCAATGTCAGGAGGAGTAGCTCTGTAGCAATGTTTCAATAATGGCAATGCTTTGACAAGCACATTTGACGAGTTTCCTATCTAAGTTATTTTCAATGATCAAAAGCCAAGCAAAACCAAAATAACCTTTTTTTCAATCCCCAAGACTGACTGAAGCCTTATCTTTCTTTCAGTCTTGTTGGCCAAAGCACAGGCGAGTTAATGGGACTATTTTCGGTGGCATCTGTGAACCGTGTCAGTGCTTTGGTCATGCAGAATCCTGTGATGACATCACCGGAGAATGCCTGGTAAGTACTCTCTTTTGGGGACACTGATTGACAAGACTGAAATCAGATCAACACATCCTACAATTCTCATAAGTTGATACTTATGAGACACTTGAGTCAAGAAGTAATTTGACAAAGATCTTTATATTGAGGTGAATCGAAAGCTGAGAATGTTCTTCAATATGTCATCTCCCTAGTGAATATTAGGAAGTGTTTACTTATATTTGTCTAAGAGTTTAATTAGGATAAAATATATATTTATAAAGCATAACTAATGATGGGACCTATATCTACCATGAATATATATATTGCTTTACTCCTTTTCATAAACCTACCAAAAGTAGAGTGTATTTATTTTATTTTATTTTGTATTTTAAAGAAGTAGAGTGTATTTTTGTGAAATAAAATAACTTTCCCCATAATATAAAAAATGCAAAATAAAAACTTTGTGATTACATAATTAAAGTTTTTTTACAGTTAAAATGAGGGCACACTGCATGCTATTTTTTTATTTTCAGAATTTAACTACATACAAAGTGTCATATGTAGATTAAAAAATAATGACTATAAGTAACACATATTCACCAGAGCTGTTTCTCCTTCTGCAATTAAGTCTATACTTTTACCCAGAAGGTAAGCTCTCCGAAGTGCAAAGCACTCTACATCCTGCTGCAAAGTCTTTGGATTGGAGAATTACGCTGAATAGACTATTCTGATTAACTCAAGGGTACATTAGTTCTGTATTGTCTGACATGGTATGAAGCTTGAAACAACACTTCTCATTTCATTAGTATTGCAGAAACACTATTTGGAATGGTGCCAATTTAGGAGGATATCATACTCTCAATTCCCTGCAGAATTTAAGGATGACTCTGTTATCTGTAATTCTTAATGGTCTCTCTTTCTATGGTTCATTCCCCCACCCCTTTCTTGTCTTCTTAAAAGCTTCTGGGAAAAATCCAAAATGAAAACTCAGAGCTTTTGTTTCAACGTAATTTGGCATTTAGGTTTATTGATGCTCTTTCTGCTTTCTCTGTATAAGATTTGTTTAATTGCGTTGCTGTATAAAGCAAGAGAAACTTAATTTGTGGATCAGTAGATTTTCAAATGGCATTTTTATGAATAGAAAGACTAAGTGATTTTCATTTTAATTATACCATAAGTCTTTTAAAATGTACTTTGGGAAAAATATTGAGTTACCTTTAAACACACAAGTTACATGCAATAGGAAATATTATTCAGTCCCAAATTGACACGGAGTTGTTGTATTATCCTAAGAAGACAAAAATAAGTATATCATGGTACCAAACTCATAATGATCCCTATAGTAATAATTCATGTTGAATTTTTTAGGATGAAATCAAATACAATTTTCATACTGAATTTATTAGGATAAAATCAAATTGGTCCATTTGGCAATGTGATAGTGTTAAGAATGGAAGCCATTGTTTTAAGGATAACAGAATTGCACTCGGCATAATTTTGGGAGAAAGGAGGGAGAGAGCAGTGAAGCCCTTCTAATGAAACCTACTTTACTGATTTTGTTTTGTGGACAGGAAGATAGGAGGTCTTCTTCAAATAACAGAGAGATCTTGAGGAAATGGACATCTTGATAACAAAGAATCTGGTGTTCAAGAGTTTTTCACTGTAGTCAGTAAATAGGTGATCATGCAGGATATATTGACTTTCAGGTTTCCTTTCTCTAAAATAGTATTGATAACTAAAATAGTATTGTTGATATCCCATTTTGAGTATTTTGGTTCTGATAGAATCCACAAATAAGAAAACAATTAAATGTTACACATCAAGGGCATTCTTACTGTTCAGTTGACTCTGCATTTTAGCTTTTTAGTATTCTTGGGTATTTTTCCCCCAGCATTAAACAGATGATTTATGAAATGTATGAATAAATAGTTTTTGACTTAGTTTGGCTTTGAAATCTGATTATAAATTAACTGAAATATATTTTTGACACCAGAACCAAATTTAAACCTCTACTATAGTGTGAGTCTATTTTAAAAAGGCATTTTAACTCAAAGTACGTTTGGAATGAACCAGGAAACATTCAAAGTCACACGAGAAAGTGGCATGCTTACTTTTCTCACACGAGAAAGTGGCATGCTTTTCGTTGTTGAAATAGGATGTGAACAAACATTTGGAAAGCACTTTTGCAACGGTACACCTGTAAAAGTAACCACCCCATCTGAGTGGAACTTTCATCTTTTTCAGTTTTCATTTCCATTATATTGGTTGTCTGATGCTGTTTTATAGTTTCAATTACAAAAATACTTGTTTCAAGATTTTTTATTTTCTATTAATGAAATGACATTAAGAAATATAAGAAACTTCTGTGTGTTATTTCTCTTTTAAATTAGTAGTTAAAGAAAAGCAGAGTCTCTGAAATATGCAAGATTTTCAGTTGAGTCCTAGAAATGATATTTTCAACCTGCTTATGGCATAATTAGTTTTATGATCCAGTTTTTAAAACCCCTAAGTCTTTGAAGACATCATTTTAATTGTGTCAATAGGATAACGTGCAGAGTTTTTCAAAAAAACAAACGATTCTTTAGTAATAGCTTAGTTTAGCTCAACTTGAAAACTGAAAGGAAATACTACAAAGATCAAATCAAAGGAGAGGAGAAAAGTCTTCTTTCAAATTGATACACAATTTGCACATTATATGCCACTATGCTGTGTTATTTAAACAACCGTTAATAGTAAAGTTAACCTTTATGCTATCTTTTACAAAATTTTGCTAAATAAATTTGAGAAAGACTCTAAAGCAACTTAAAGCAAAACCTATTTTTAGATGTCACCAGTTACTACAGAAATACGAATTCACTTGTAGCTAATGAAACTGGCAATGGGTTTCACAGCTTGAAACTTTATAAATCATCTATTTTAACTCTTTTATTCTATAGAAGGTAAATGGAGATTCCGAGAGTTAAATGACTGGATTATAATTTAGGGAGCTTCCACTCAATAAAGAAATCTGCAAACTGCTTCCCTCACAAGGAATTTTAAAATGCTGTATTCAAATATGTATATTTATTTACTTGTGTTTGTTTTCTTGCTTAATTCATTCACCAAATGTTATTGAAGTTTAACTTATTTCAAAATATGTTGAAATAAATAATAATTCAGAACTTTCATTAACTTAGTCTAACCATTTCAATGGTCATTTAGATGAATACTTTTTTATTCTATGTTTAAGTTTAAGAGATATTTTAGCTATTTTCTTTAAAAATTTGGTTACTGACCCGCCTGGGCAACTTGGCAAGACCTCATCTCTATGATAAATCAAAAACTAGCCGGGTGTGGTAGTGCACGCCTGTAGTTCCAGCTACTTGGAAGGCTGAGGCGGCAGGATCGCCGGAGCCCAGCAGGTCGAGGCTGCGGTGGCCGGGAGCGGCCACTGCACTCCAGTCTGGGCGACAGAGTGAGACTCCAACTCAAAAAAAAAAAAAACAAATTTGGTTACTTATCATAAAAATAGATAGTACATATTCCTGAGCTCTGATGAACTTTTTTTAACATGGGAAAAAAGTATCATTGTATATGCGTATTAAATTTAAAATGTATATCAGTAATATTGAATCCATACTGTATTATTTTTAATAGAAATTAGATATACATTATTATAGGTTTGAAGATTGAAGCCATGTCTACATGGTAGCCAAAACATCATAAAAATGTATCAAACTGTGCCATTTGAAGCTTTAGAAACAATTCCACTTGATTAATTGAATTTTTCACCTTTATACCAATCTTGATGAGTTTTAAGAACACAGCCTGAGTTGAGGAATATACTTTAATTAATTTGAAGAAATCAAGACAGAAATTATGATAATTAAAAAAAATTTAAACAATATGGGCTCAAAAATCACTAACTGGCAGAAAAATGCAGCTTCAGTTTTCCTTTTAAAATGTCTGAGGGGAACTGTTATATGCCTTGTGGGTTCATTATACCACAATATGTTTAAATTTTTTTCCATTTTCTCAGTGTTTAATTATGAGTCAAGCAAGTTCCTCACAGACGTAACACAGTAGTGCATTGTCCAAACCATCAGAGTCAACTAAGGTCAAATTAATGTCTGAGCTAAGAAAGCATGGTCCCAGAGGATTCATATGATTAGCCACAGCTCTCATTAAATCAGCAGTTTCAGGCTGGATAATTGATTTTCACTTAGCCTCGGCTACAGTTTCCATTAAACATATGTTATTAAGGCTCTATGACAAAACACACACACATGCAATCACATGTAGTTCCTTAAGAAAAAATTAAAAGCTAAAGTAATGATTTATGTAATGAAAAAAATTATAACGAATTTCAGTTATCTTTTTGTAAGTATGAATATACTGAAACTAGCATGTAGTTTATAAGCTAGAAATTAAATTAACTTTTAATGCTATCTTCCAGCTGTAAAATTGACCGTTTAATGTGGAAAAATGTTCCTTCCTGGTGGGGAACATACTAATGATTTTGTAGACCTGTTTTTTGGCAACTGTCGATGCTTGAGACCAAAACAATAAATTCGGACGTGCATTTTTCCCCAGAACTGTAAGGATCACACAGGTGGCCCATATTGCGATAGATGTCTTCCTGGTTTCTATGGCGATCCTACTGAAGGGACCTCAGATGACTGTCGGCCCTGCGCCTGTCCTCTCAATATCCCATCCAATAAGTGAGTAACAAACTCACCCCATTGATGAGTTCAGAGTCCAGATCTGCAAGTGCACTTTTGATACTGAATGTAGTAAACACAGGCAGAAATTTGGGGGATTGGGGGGAGACAGTGTGAATTTTTCTAAATATAAAATATTTCAAGTTATGACTATTTCTAATAATGTTTACTGTTTTAGCTCTGGTTTTGGTGATTTAATATTTAAGAGTAGAACTCAAATAGAATTCTTAAACCAACTCTCCAAAAAACTGTTTTATACAAGTGCATACTATGTGCTTCTCATCACACACATACACCCAGGCAAACATACATCTTCATACTTTAATAACAGGACCAGTAAAATAAATGCAGCTCTTTTGGGTCCTAGTTTCGCATTGATTTGTGAATCTTGGGCAAATCACAAACCTCTCAAAATGGTAAAATGAAGCCTTGATCTAACTGATTTTAAGCATTCATCCTATCCCTTCATTTTATATGTGTGTGTGTATATATATATATATATATATATGCTTATATTATGTGTATATCTTATTAAAATTGTTAAATGGTATGCATTATGTTATAAATTATGAGTATTAACCTATGCCTGATAATTGCCATCTTATTTTACATAAACTATATCTTTTAAAAGTTTAATGTAAACTTCATACTACGTTTTAGTCATTCAGCTTTTTTTCTTTTTCGTTTCTAGTTGTTCACCTAGAACAACAATCTCCTAGAGAAGTGTTAAAAAACAACAACAAAAAAACCCCACTTTGCCTCTTTTCCTTTCCTTTTAGGGGAATGCTCTATTCAGCTGTTCAAATTCACATTCCCTCAGGGCAGCTATCACTAGGTAAATAGCTGAGCAAGACCCAAAACCAAATGTGTTCTATTTTGTTTTTATTTTTTATTTACTTGTTTATTTATTTTTAATTTTTAATAGAAAGATGTGGGATACAATTCAGGGTTAGGTATACAATCATTGGTCATGCAGGTAAGGTACCCCTGTTAATGAGGTTCTATTTTGTTTTTAAATGGGGCATAAGGATATTGAACAAAAATAAACAATTTTTACTAGTAAACAATTGTTAAAAACTATACTTTTATTTTCTTAAGCATATTTTTATTTTAAAATTGTGGGGTACAGTTAAGGGTTAGGTATACAAATATGCATCATTTAGGCACCCTTGTTGATAAGGCGTGTCTCCCCATCCCCAGACAGGGGAGACAGATATTGACTACCGTTAATCCCACCTCCTTTCCCCTCCCCACCCCCCATAGTTTCCCACTACTGTCAATCCTTTAAAAACTATGCTTTTAAATGAAAAGAACATCTTTGTTGGAGAACCTTCTTAAAGGTAAGCTTAGTGCTTAATAAACTTTATATTATGCACTTTCCAGCTATTTCTAAGCACTGTGATAACGCTTGCAGAGCAGAAATGTTCAATGATTTTGAGGTGAAATCTGTCAGCTAACAGTCTTTTAATGTGAAGGTATGATCAAGTAGGTCATGCTCCAAGTTCTTACCCAGGACGCTCTTAATTAAAATGGTCTTTTGTTAGATTCAATGAATTCTACAAACTAAAGAATCTGAGAATAATTCTGACAGTAAATGCTTCTTACTGGTTGACCCACACGAAATACTTATCCTTCCAACAACCCTCTTCCTTCAGAATTTTTCACCTTACTCATTGTTTGTAAAAGAATAGAAATAACTAATATTTTTGAAAGCAGACTCTTATGTTCTAGGCATAGGGTCAAGCACTATATTTGGCATGATCTTACCTTCAAATACAACTCAATAAGATAGCTATTATTTATCCTTATTTTATAGATTAGGAAATGAAGGCTCTGGGTAGGAAAATTGCATTATTTTGCCAATTCTGGAGCCAAAATTCCTTGTTTTAAATTAAGTAGAGTGATGATCTATTTAATTTATAAATCCTAGAAGTTTTAAGGTTAGAGTTATAAAGTCTTTGAAATATAAAAACAACTTAGACAAGGTTACTTAAACAGTTTAAGTAACTTTGGTCAAGTTACTTAAACTCTTTGTGCCTCAGTTCTGTCATCATTGGCTGTGGTAACAGGATCCTCTTATAGGGTAGATAAGGAAATACCATACTTAAAATATATAAAGCACTTAAAACAGTGATTAGATATTCTGAGCCCGATATCAGAGATGACTCTTATTAAAAAGCTTGCTCAGAGACATAAGGCATTCAGAGTCAGGAGTTTAACTTTTTTTTTTTTTTGAGTAAATACATTTACTGATACCCATCTTATATATAGTTCAATGAAATGATCTATAAATATAAAAACATTCTGCTTTTGTATATCACCATGGTCCATGTAAATACTCAACAGTCAGAATCATCTGCAGGAAGCACTCCAAGTCACACTGTTAGGTTATAGACCTGAATATGCATACTGCATTAAACAATGGCACTTATGTACTCAAGTGGTCCAGTGACTGTGGAATAGATGACTATTGGGCATGTGGAATAAAAATAATGTGTAAGTTTAAATTAGTGGAAAGGGTATCAACCACCAACAAAAAGCAACAATTACTCATTAATATCCTAGCCAAAGAAAGTACCGCAGTTGACACTTGGTGTCAGAATACTAGAGACAAAGTAAGTAAAACAGTGCACGTTGCGGCACCATGTGCTCTTTCCAACTCCCAGGGGACAGTCCAACATGCCATAGGCCACTCACGGTCAACAAACCGCAATAAAGAACCTAGACAGTGTAGAATAAAAGGTATGTAAATGTTGATATCAAGATTAAAGAAAGTGAGCTATTTCAGTGACATAATGAGTTTCCCTCCTAGAAGGGCACTCTGGGAAAAGCAAGCTTTTTACATTCCCTTTGTTACACTGAGCATGATCATTTCTCTAATGCAGGAGAAAGAACCCAGACATTTGGTACCCAAAACATAGGTGCAAACATTTTTCTTCTGTTTCAAAGTTCTTTTCTGAACACATCCCAAGGGTACTAACACAGCCACTGTTGAGCCTTGCTCTCCACCTGATGCAGCATAAAATTTTCTCTTATTTCTTCAATAACAAATACAGGAATGTCTTTTGCTGTAGTCAGACTGTGTGTCTCTGAGTTAACAAGCAAATGCATTTCAAAGGTCTTAGATGTGCAATGTCCAAAATCGAAATCTGAGAGGCAGTGTTAGAACGTAAGCAAGGCAAGATATTTAGAGACTACTCAAATGAAATCCTACGTGAAGCATATAAAAATTCACTTTTTCTGTGATTTTCAACTGGAATTGACAGCAAAATTCCCTAGTAAGGATGGGTAATTGGTGTTATCTCCAAGTCCAAAACATCCCAACTACTTAAAGTAGGACCCAAAAGAGGAGAAAGAAACACTTGAGTTCTGTGGTCTCTAGATTTTTGTTTTGTTTTGCCATTTTTCAAAAAAGAAATTGTCGTCTCGGTTGTACACCGCTGGTTGAAGGGGCTTTCATCCAAATGAGAAACTCTACCCCTTGTCTCCTGTGGGACAGGCACCAGATTCCCACAAGCAGCAGCTCCCATGTCCTGTAGCATGTGGCACCTGACCCTGGAGTGAACAGTAAGCTGGCACAGAGCCCTGACACTAGGATTCAGACTAGATGGCGTTTCTCAGCATGCCATTATGTGTCAAGACTTTCAGGCTGGGGGCACTGGTCTGATGACCACAGCTCCTGTGAGAGGTCACACCCACCTCAAAACCCTTTAAAGTTCACGTGTTTTTCAGTCCTCTACAGTCTAAATTGAGGACTATAAAAAGATATATTTAATTTTATGTGATAGCCTAAAAGTAGTTCATTAATCCACCAGTTAATATAAGTTCTCCAGCAAGGCCTTGAGAAAGTTAAGTATTGGTTTAATTTATATTAGCAGTCAGAACATTTCCAAAGCTTAGAACATGAGCCTGGATGGTCACAAAACAGAAAAAATTCTTTGCCAACCAAGAGGTTCAGAGAAAAGGAAAAAGACAAGAGGGAAATTTGCTAGAAAATAATAAAATAGATAAATAAATAAATGAGTTCTACTTAGTCCTGTGATGGTCTCTGGTGTACACGTGAAGGTTTGGATAAAACAATCTACCACCTACTCATTCGCTGTGACCGAATGGTGTCCTCCAAACCATTCACACAGACATGAACCTCATCGTTCAACACTAACTTTCACTGAGGAAAGCAGAGGGATGGCATCTCCTTCTCAGCTGATGTCATGGGTGTTATTAGCACAGCCATCAATCCGGCAGAGCTGGCCACCCATTGTACCATGTGAACCCTAGCTGAATACATTTTTAGAATTATATAATTGATTGAATATATAGACCTTATGAATTTATCCTCAAGTCTGACCAGCATTACTATAAATGCAGAGAAGCCATTAGGGAGAGAATTTTGCTTGGGTAATTATAGGCATTCGTGACCTGTCCTTGTCTCTATATTTACTGTGCTTCCACTTTGATAATGGATTGTAATTGTGTTGTTTCTGAAAGAGAAAGAAAGACAGCAAGCATTAAAACACCATCTATCAGAGCCAAAGGGATCAGGATATCAGTGTTCAATGATGGTATTCCCTAAAATATATGTATTACACGTTGGTATAATTATGTTGGTCCTGATTTTTGAAAATATAGACAGCACAATATGAACGATACCAATAACACCAAGTATTTAAAGATTCTTCAGTTTCAAGGTGCTTTCACTTAGAGTAAATAACTATTAAATTATAAATAATAGTTTTATTTTTAGTAGCAAAATTTGAAATAGAGTAGGAGGCTATTTTAAATTTCAGCTTTAAGTGTGGCATTTTTATAAGTAGAAAGAGAGAAGAATGATAATCTGCTTAGTTTATAAACCTAAAAGTTTTAAGGTTAGGGTTAAAAAGTCTTTGAAATATAAAAACACCTTAGAAAAATTATCGTAGATTAACAGTACAGCTGTGATAGGAAAAACCCATTTTCATCTAATAACCTGATTTTTTAAAAAGATTACTAAACAGTGAAAT